TTGAGAACGCACAAGAATGTAATAATGACGTCACCGAGAACACATTTCCCTTAAAAGAATAAAATGCTTACTGGGAACAGTTAGAAACAGGTTATCTCTAGTTTTTTTTGGACAGAAACTTAAACGATCAATCATATATTAATAACGTGTTACAACCTGTATTTTTTTCCAGCAATTCCAAAAAATTTTCAGCAAGACAATGTCAGACCATATACCTCTGAAGTTACTAGAAATTTCCTCCGATAAGTTAATGTAGACAAACATTCTTTTGTGGCTCGCAACGTCATCAGATTTTTAGCAAAGATGACATATTAGGGTTCTTTTAGCTTATTGAGCATGGCTGGGATGTGAGGTAGTAGGCTGAGGCGGTTGTCACATCTTATACTGCATGTACAACATCTACGTCGCGAGGTAACATTATCCTGGGAGATCCTACTACAGGAAGTGTAGGTATGGATCATTTGATTCGCAGCATGCCTCGAAGAGTTACAGAATGTCTAATCATGCATTAAAAGTGCAACCTACTATTGAAATTTTAAGAATTCCTTTCAATACATTTGTTTGACAATGTTATCGATTATTATTCATATTTATCCCAACTGCATCCTAAAAATATTAATAATATACATTTACATTATTTACTGAGTGTTGCAAGTTCTCGGTCATGCAGCGAGTATATAATAATTTATATATTTGTATTGAGTCTAGGATGTGCCCAATTCGAGTGTGATCATTGGGGAAACTATAACAGATACGAAGGTCAAATTATGGCAAGGCTTGAAAGGCAAGGCATTTTTTTTAAATGTTTTGAAAATCAAATAATTCCAAATACTTCAAAAATGTAGATTAATTTTGTATAGAAAAGTTAAGTTTTAACCGAGGTTTTAACTAAAACCCCACGAAAAATGTGATTTGGATTTCACGTTTTTGCATGTTTGCACCTCAAAAAATACATAAAATAACAGAAATCACAGCTAATCTTTAGAAGACTTACAGGACAAATTGACTAGACTAAATAACTATAATATGTTATGCTGATTTCCCGCCAACATACAAAATTGTGATACAAGCCTTTCGCCACATGGTCCTAATGTTTTACAAGCGAAAAATAAGAATATTAACATTTAAAATGTTAATTAATGTGAATATTACCTTTTGAGCTGTTAAATAAAAGTTCTTTAACCTATTTGTGTAGAAAGGGTTTTTTTAAAATATTTATTGTGTAGGCAGAACATGCTTTATAGTTAATTTCAACAATTCCTGTTATGATTTATAAGTTCAAATATGAATTTTAGGTTTCCGTTCGTTGATATATTAATTTATATGCACATTTGATTGAAAATACCTATTTATGATATTTTTAGTGGCTCATTATTTTCATGTTTTTTGTAAAGATCTTAGACAAAAATACGTCACCTTAAAGAAAAGTTACACAGAAGCGATGTGTGCTTTTACCCTGGGGGTGAGTGCCACCTATTTTAATTGCAAAAATCAATCAAGGGATTAATTCTAAGCAAAAAATGTTCTATAACATTTTTTTCAGAAAATTAATAATTTCCTAGTTATTTAGGATTGAAAATGTTGATTTTTCATCTAAAAAAGCATATTTTTCTATTATTTTTTATAAATAACTCGAAAACTTTGCGTTTTATTGCAAAACTCATATTAAGCAAAAATGGAGCTTTTGGAATAACTAAACGATCCATTTCTTATGTGATTTTGTGACAAATTTCGAATGACAAAATAAAACAACCAAATAACGAATTTAGACATTTTAGTCCATAAAGGTTGCCATGACGACCTTTACGGCCTAGGCCGAAAAAGAAACATTTTACGGACTGAAATGAGTCCGTAAAATAGCTGTTTTTGGGAGCGTATGACAAAAATACTTTTTTAAAAAAGTTCGTAGTTCAAAAACTCGCGGAGTTATGATAAGAATATTTTTTCGGAAAAAAATTGACAACAAAATGTATGAATTATGACTAAAATCATACAAATAAAAACTAAGGGTAATACATGTACAGTTGGCTATATTTAGCTCCTAACAATGGGTTCTGTAAGTTCGAGCGGTTTAGAATGCCTAAATTTGGAAAAAAGTTGAAAATAATGAAAAACATTTTTTTAATTTTTTAAAAAACTTAATTTTTTTTACATATCTCAAAAACTAAGCAAAATACGTAAAACATGCGAAAGAGTAAAATTGAAGGCCATTTTTTTGCAATATTTTTGCTTTCTTTCAATTTTCTGTAGATTCCTTTATTTCGTAGATATTACGTTTTTTTAGTTTGACTTGCGTGTAAGGACCACCTTCTTTGAGCCCTTAAAACCCAAATATCTCGTAAAAATGAAGAGTTCAAGACTGTTCAATTATAGAGGTTAATTCGTAGCTCGTGTAATTTCCTACAAATTGATAGTTTTTATTTTTATGATTTTAGTCTTAGATTTTCTTGTTAATTTTTTTTCTAAAGAATGAGGTTACTTCCTGTTTCACCGAAAAACTATTGATTATTAAATGGCACCCTCGGTATATTTCTACTTTATGCGATAGAAAATGACACTCTGAATAGAATGACATATCATATATCAACTTTTGACATTTGCGTATATGGTTTATTTGAAATTATAACATACGTTTCATAACGACCATTTGACTCGAAATACCAAGTGTGTGGTACAAAATTATTCGTGAAAAAATGCTTTTTCCAAATATGCTAATGAGCCACCCTTTCCATTTGAAAAAATTGACATATGATTAAAAATACGATTTGGGCATTTTAAAACAGGCCAGGACAAGACACGAAAAAGGTCAGACGATAAAATCTATTTTTTTAAGGCTCCTTGTTAAAAAATTAGTGTTTTTAACACAGGCATGGCACTCTAGATTCAAATTTAAAATACGATTTTTTTTACCAAAAATGTCAAAATTTGACATATGATATGAAAGATATGATAGAAATATACCGACGGTGTTTTTCGGTGAAACAGGAAGTGACCAAAAACAAATGAATACGTCAATCAATCTTTTATTTATTTTTATGTCCCCCCCCCCCATATACTAACTTTAGTATGTTATATCTCCAAAAAAATCCTTTATGGGTATTTCGCCACTGCACTGCAAGATCATCGACAAAATAAAATAAGAAAAAATTAATTAATTAAATTATTTTTTTTTTATTTTTATACTAAATATCGTTTTTTATCTAAAAAAATAAAAAAGTTATAGGTTATAGTCACTTTCAAGATGCATCCGGTATAGAAAAAACAACATCCGCGGACTATTGAGCGGACATTGAACGAAGAGAAGAATTTTAAAGTATCTTTAAGTGAAACTTTATTGTTAAAGTAGCATAAATATGCTTAGTTGTAGTTAAAGTATATACTATTGAAGGAAAGAGAGAATTATAATAATTATTAATGGGGTGGGCGCCAGGTAGAGTACTCGCCCGGTCTCAATATTTCCCTTCCGCGGGCCCTGATGATAACTCGGCTATTGTTACACCTACGGTAATCAACAAAAAATGAGTCGATTCGTTATTCCAAAAGCTTCATTTTTGCTTTATATGAGTTTCGCAAGAAAACGTAAGGTTTTCGAGTTATTTATAAAAAATGGCAGAAAAATATGCAATTTTTAGATGAAAAATCAACATTTTCAATCCTAAATACCTAGGAAAATATAAATTTTCAATATTGGCCCTTTATGAAAAAAATGTTACTGAACATTTTTTGCTTAGATTTTATTCCATATGATTTTACAATTAAAATGGTGGTTTTCTGCCCCCGAAGAGGGGTGGCACTCACCCCAGCATTAGTACACATCGCTACTACTTAACTTTTGTTTCTTACATATGTCTCTATTCACTGTTGAAATTTCACGTCAATCGGTGGAGGTGTCAAGAATTCGGAGGTAATACCCTATTTTTTTTTTTTTTTTTTTTAACCATTTTAGAACAAGAAAACAAAATAAAAAAAAAAAAAAAAAGCAAAAACAACTTCATCGACAAAAGCACTCACAAACAACAAAATCACAAAAAAAATACAAACAACAAAATACACAATAAACAATACATTCAAAAAATTTAAGTCTTTAAAATTGCAAAAAGAATATACATGGCAGTTTTTTCTTGGAATATATAATAATAAATATAATTTAAAGTTATAGAATGTCATCACCGACCTTTGACCGGTGTGTGAGATGATCAAATTTAAAATTCCAAAAATTGTTCATAATCAAACATCAACAAAGAATAGTTTACCGCGTATAGGGCTCTCTCCAGTAGGTATGATTTTTGAGCTTCACGAAAATGCAGAGAAAAATAGCTGTTCAAAAAGGCAGATGATTGGCGCATTTTTGGCGTTGCTGATATTGAGCCTTTAACTCGTTCTGAGCTCGGGGTTTGGCAGATAAAGATCGTGCTCTGCATTCTAAGTGGATAGTTATGAGATAACAAAAATATTTATGAAGAATGCATTTTTTGTTGCAATTTTTCTCTTGTAAAGATAATCATAACAAAATAAAAAAAAAAAAAAAATATTATTTTTAAATAATGTATCTATTACAGCTAAAATGGATGCTGGCTGGTTTTCAGAAGCTGGCCAGCTATTTTAAGTGCTGTATTTTTTGTTGGTTAGGTGTCAGTTTGTAGTGTTGGACTTTATTTGGTTTGTCTTTATTTGTTTTTAAAAAAAAAAAAAAAAATAATATATAAAAAATACTTAAAGTTGTAAATAAAACGTTAAGAGAAAAATCATAAGTAACGAATAAAAAAGCATATTCTCAAATTCAGAAAATCAATATTTAACCGAGTAAAAGATGCCACACATTTTTTTGCAAAAAAATATTTTTCCAACTCGTTCAATCATCGTCGATTGTATCGATCACAAACATTCGCGAACCCCGAAATAAATTATCAATCCGGAAAAAGCTTACTCGTCGGTTTTCCTACTAAACGAAGCTACAAAGGATCGGTACGAAATCAGTACTATCGGCAGGTCCAGCGGTAGTCGATCGGCGACCTCCATACCGCACCGTGTGTAGCAGGAGTCGGGCATAGGCAGGCCGCAGGACGACAGAGTCGGCAACGGGGCACCACAGTCGGATCGCGCGTGCCGGTCGAATACACGCGCGCACGTGCCTCTTTGGATGATGCGGTGGTGAGTCGCGATGGTGCGCGAACGCGGACAGTGGTGCGTGTAATTGAGCGGGCTGATTTCGTCAGTGGTGTATAATGATTTTCTGGAAAAATCAACTGGGTTTTTTATTTGATTTTTAACTATGCTCTATTTTAGTGAACGATATTTTGTTGAAAAAATATTAGAAAGATAAATATTTGTTAGTTTCTGTAAATTATTGCAAATTTAAATGTACAGAAACACCCTTTTTAAGGTACGCGTCCACTAATCGGCGTCGGACGGACGGTACGCATCGGAAAAATCGGATGTTTTTTGGGTCCATGTTTACTACCACGGATTATTGGAGTCGGTATCACCATCTCTCGCTCTCCGCAGTTAGCAAAGTGGTGTTGAAGCTTATGTCTTCATTGAACTTGAATGTTATAATTGTTGCGTGTTGTCGGGAAGAGAGAACGAACGAAGAGAGAATGTTGGTGCATAATATTGTGTAAAAGACCAAGGTTCGAATAATATGCGGTTTATTTTGTGATTTAATTCTAGATGAAAGAAAGTTCTTTGAATATTTTCGAATGTCCCACGTTAGATTTGAAGCTTGCTTTTAAATATTTAAAACGACCAAGTTTATTTAGATAGTGTCCGCACGGAACGGATTTTGATTTCGTCTTTGGAATCCCGTCCGGAAATGCCGAAGTGCGGTCGGTTCGATGCCGATAGGTGAACGCGGTCATATTCAAATATCTGAATTAATTAAATAATCCGATTCATCCAATGCGTACCGTCCGTCCGACGCCGATTAGTGGACTGACAATACCTATAGGAAGATAGACGAAAACTAACTAATATCGGGGTCTGGAATTTTTATCAAAAACATGATGATGATAACCGCATCGATATCTGTTACCGTTGTTTCGGAGTTACGGGGGGTGTTTCAAAAATCATTTTTAACAAATCTGTAATTCTTTAACTATAAAAATGTTGTATTGTTATGTGAAAACATTTCCAAAGAAAAAAAAAAAAACGTAGAATTTAATGGTTTAAGTATTTTTTTAAATTAATATTTAAAATTATCAACAGAAAATTTGATTTTTTTATATGGGAGGATGTCCCGTAAATTTTAATTCAATTGAAAAAATAAAATTACCTTTCAAAAATATATAGCATGAAAAATAAATTATAAAAAAAAAAAAGATATAGGGTTTTTAAAAATTAGCCCACTGATAATACCAGGTGCGTCTCAAAAAAAGGCACTCCTATAACTTTTATTTTTTTAGGATTTTTTTTGAGATTTGGTATGTTTTTGGTATGACATAAATTGGGTTGGTTGGACGTATTCAATTGTTTTCGATTACTTCCGGTTTCTGCAAATGACTACAACTTTTGATTTTTTAATAGCACCCTCGGTATTTTTTTGCTTTAAATGACATGCCATATTATGTCTACTTTTGACATTTCGCATATAGTTTATTTGAAATTATAACTTGCGGTTCTTAACGAAAATTTGACTTGAAATACCAAGTGTGTGGTATCAAATTATTCATGAAAAAATGCTATTTCCAAATATGCTAATGAGCCACCCTCGTTACATTTGAAACCAGAGATACGATTAAAAATACGATTTGAGCATTTTCAACGATCGGGACAGACACTAAAGCATTGGAGCAGATCTATTTTCCAAAACCATGATGAAGAATTAGTGTTTTTATCGTATCCATGGCACTCTAGACTGAATTTTAAAATACAATTTTTTTATTAGTTTTTTTTATTTTTTTTTACATATGATATATAATTATTCAGAATATCATTTTCTATCGAATAAAGTAAAAATATCGAGGTGCCATTTAAAAATCAAAAGTTGTAGTCATTTCCGGTGAAACAGGAAGTGGCTAAAACAATTGAATACAATCAATTCTAATTTATATCGTATACTAACATGCAATCTCGTTTTTATCTGAAAAAAAATAAAAACGTTATAGGGGTGAAACCCTTTGAGACCCACCCAGGTATGGGCGTTGGTGCCCATAACATGTACCAAAAATTCTAGCTGAGCAGCAATTAAAACAAAAATAATATTTGCAATGAGAAATTACACCACCCCAAACTATATTTAACAACATCCTTTACATTTATACTTTTGTCTAAAAACAATAAAAATAAATAGCAAACCAAGACATGAGATATTGCTACAGGTGTTCGACATATCGACCGTCTTCTATTATGGACAGACAGGACAGTTTTTGAACATTTCTCGCGGTATTCTTAAACTCAGTGGAGTTGAAAGATACCATCATATAACCACTAAGTACTTCTAATTCTTGTCTAGATTATTGGGCAATTTAAAAATAAGGAACCTTTATTCTTTTAAGTCAGGCGGCCTCGAAGGTCAACGGCTGGGATTTGGGTTAGCTATTCAATTATTCTCAGAAATTGGCTGCAAATTTGCTGCGATAACTTCAGCGTTCTAAAGCGGTGCCTCGTCTTTCTGGAAGAAGGTAATAACCGATTTCCATTAGGGCCAGATTATCAATAAGGGATACAAAGCCTACTAGTTAAAAAGTGGCGAACTTTTAAAAATTCTGTATTTCGAAAGGGGACATAACAAATATCAAGTGTGCTATATTTTTGAAAAGTTTTCAGTTAATTAAAATACTCTCTCTTAAAGGTATCCCAAACCCAAAAAATAAGTTTTTCTCACTCTTAGTAGTAATTTAAAAAAAATGCTTAAACTATTAAAATCTACGTAAAAGGTACTTTGGAAAGCTGAAAGAAAAGAATACAAAATTTTCTAATTTTTTTTTTTTTAATATTTGTTTAAAAATACATATTGTTGAAAACACACCGTAACTCGAGCGATATCAATAACCAGATGTTGATGTTGCGGTTTTCCATCATATTTTGACAAGAATTGAACACCGATGTTAGGTTACGTCTATGTCCTATAGAAAGGTGTTGCCCTTTAAAAGCGTCAATTTTGACCCACCCTGAACAGGGTGTCAGTGGCTTTACTGGATAAATTAATAAAATCATATATTTTTTGGAAATATTCTCGGAAAAGGCAATTAGTATTTTAAATTATGCTCTTTTGATGTAAAGAAAATATTACTCTTACAACTTAATCAGATATTTTTGACTGTTCTTCGGACAGGCGCAAATTTCAATTTTTATTTTTACTCATAAAAATAAAGGCAGATGTAAGGGAGTTGAAAACCCGAATGAGAAAGCAGTCACTGTAGGCTCATTTCCGTCAAAAATATTAGAAATGATCAAAACTAATGATCAAAATTTTTGTACCGCGTATGGCGTTCTGGGGCGTTTCAGTTAAAAACGAGGTTAAAAATAAATGATGAAGAGATTTTATAAAAAGTTTATTATTTTAATACTGTTTACGATATATTCAAACTTGTGAACAAACAATAATTTCATTCATTTTCAATAAATCAATAAATTAATAAAAAAGGGACACAAAAATAAAGTAAAACGCATTTTTTAGAAATTTTTGACAACAGAAATATAACTTGGCTAAGGAACCAATAGAAATTAAAAACCTATATATTTTATGATTTCTCGCATTATTGAAAGTACAAACCACTGAAATATGAAGCTAAAGTAATAAACATAAATGATTTTCAACAAAACTGTTAGGACATAAAAATTATGTTAACATTTGAGTGCATTGAACAAATCAAACTTTAAACAAAAAAAAAAAAATCAAAACAAATATTTGATAAGTGCAAATTTAAATAAATACTTATAATACTATAAGAACATGATGCAGTGGTGAAATTTTGTTGAAGCTAAAAGCATTTCTCATAGGACCATGATATTTTCAGGTTCACTTCTTACATATGAAGCATTATTCATAATTAAAATAGACCAGAAAAGATAAATTAATGGGGCAAAATGTGTTAGATATGTATCATAATTTATCTGAAGAGCTCCAAATAAACGTCAGAATAAATTTTAAGAAATTTCAGATGGAAGATATAGGTCCTATATTTTTAGCCACTCTTGTTTCAGTTAATTATAGTTAATGTCTGGTATGAACTCTAAAGCAGAACTTAGATCTGGTTTGCTATTTGTATTTTTCAACATCATCTAAATCAGACAAAAGACGTTTAAAATATATCGTTATTTTTTGAGATTTATTTTAGTATCGATAGACTACTTCAAACCATTTTATGTGAAAAAAAATAAATGCAATACATTACTACTCGCATCATAAAACACCATTACTGCCGTTACTCGCTGACCAGTATTCGACACGCATCAAAGATGGTCAAACAGCGTTTTCTTTCATGAGCTTTTCTGCGACTGAAAAAGCCGATACGTGATGTTGTTTGCCTACCGCACTCCGCACATTCAAAAATCTCATTGCTTTGTGGCCCCCCCACCTTTTGGTTGTCGCTGTTATTGAGTTTACAATTCTTCTCATTGCGTTCTATTGTGAACTGATTCTTCCCACTCATTCTGCTGTTAATCCCCTTTAAGTTTTCGTGGAAAATGTCCTTGTACAACTTTGAAAGGGTAAACCTTATTGCTGATCATGAAACACATCTTGCTGCAGTATGTCCTGGATTGACTACAAAAAATAAAAAAAAAAAAAAAAAAATAAACCAAACCAAACTTTATTGTTGAGAAAAATGCATTCTCCATAAAAAATTCTAAAATGGTTAAATCGTATACTGTTTCAGATTTTCATGCATTTTAGAGAAGATTAAAAAACAATGAAAATGATTGGTTTATTTTTTCCTATCCGGTTGGCTGCTCAAGTGGCTCACACAACCACAAAAAGTGGGACCACTCCTATTTTTTTTTCTTTTCAGTTAAAAACGATATTTGGTATATTAGTATGACATGAAATTGGGGATTGATTGACTTATTCAGTTGTTTTTGGTCGCTTCCTGTTCCACTGGAAATGGCCGAAACCAGACTACAACTTTTGATTTTTTAAATGGCACCCTTCGCATATTTTTTGCTTTTTTGATAGAAAATAACATTCTGAATAGAATAACATGTCAACTACTGAGCATTTTGCGCCGATGGGTTATTCAGAGATATAACATGCGGGTTCATAACGAAATTTGACTCAAA